TATTCTTAACCCCTGGATATTGACTCTGTAAGGAGGCCCTTTCCGGCTTTGTGTGGAAACTCACCTGTGTGTCCACTCCCAATAGGGGAATGCTACATTTTATGTACAACCCTGCAATGGAACTCTATACAGTCAGGAAAAAGTGGGAGGCAGATATATATGTTCATGGCATGAAGTGATGGCCATGGTAAATTACTGGATGGAAAACCCAGCAGAACAATATGTATTGTATGTTTCCATGTTTGTATAAAAACAAACATTTAAAAATCCATTTACCAAGCTGGGAGAGGAGGCTCACATCTATAATCCTAGCACTTTGGGTGGCTGAGGTGAGAGGATTGCCGGAGTCCACGGGTTTGAGACTAGCTTGGGCAACTTGATGAGACCTCATCTCTACAATAAATCAAAAAATTAGCCAGGTGTGGTGGCGTGTGCCTGTAGTTCCAGCTACTTGGAAGGCTGAGGTGGAAGGATCACCTAAGCCCAGTAGGTCAAGGCTGCGGTGGCCATGAGCATGCCATTGCACTCCAGCCTGGGCAACACAGTGAGACTCCAACTCAAAAAAAGAAAATCCATTTACCTGTTTGTTGATTCATAGAAAAATGGCCAGAAACCGGATTGGTGACTCAGCCTGTAATCCCAGAACTTTGGGAGGTTGAAGTGAATGGATTGCCTGAGCCCGTGGGTTCAAGATCAGCCCGGGCAATTTAGCAAGACCTCACCTCTACAATAAATAAAAAATTAACCAGGCATGCTAGCGCTCACCTATAGTTCCAGCTACTTGGAAGACTGAGGCAGAAGGATCGCCGGCTCCCAGCAGGTCGATGCTGGGGAACCTGTGAGTATGCCACTGCACTCCAGCCTGGGCAACTCCAACTCAAAAAAAAAAAAAGAAAAATAGCTAGAAGGACAAACACTAAATAGTCACATTGATCACGGGGAAATTGTTAAGGAGGAGGAGCTTCCTTTTTTTGTTTTTATTTCCTCTCTTGTTTGAAATGTTTACCACTAGTATGCATTATTTTGCAGCTAACAAAAGATGAAAGTAAATGTGCAATGAGTACCAGGAGCCTGAGGTTCTGACACACCCCAGCTTGTCCCTGCTGCAGAGGCCTCTCCTCTTCAGAGGCCTCCCTAATGTCCCTTGCTCATCCTGGAGGCAGCTCAACCCAACTTCCCCTCCATGAGCACTTTCCTTTCCTCTTTTTTTTTGTGTGTGAGTTGGAGTCTCTCTGCCACCCAGGCTGGAGGGCAGTGGCACACTCCTGGCCACTGCAGCCTCGACCTACTGGGATCCAGCAATCCTTCCTCCTCAGCCTTCCAAGTAGCTGGAACTACAGGCACGCACTACCACGCCCAGCTAATTTTTGATTTACTGTAGAGACAAGGTCTCATCAAGTTCCCTGGGCGGGTCTCGAACCCACGGGCTCAGGCAAGCCACACCTCGGCCTCCCAAAGTGCTGGCATTACAGGCTGAGCCACCGAGCCCAGCCCTTTCCTCTTTTTTTAAAAGCAGGATTTATTGAGAGGACAGAAAAGCGCCCAGAGCAGGAGGGGACCAGAGGGGTTTGCTCCATGAGCACTCTGGTCAAGGGGACTTTCCTTGGCCTGAGGCTACAGTCTGGCCTGAGTCTCCTGCTCAGGTTCCCTGGTTAGAAGGCCATGGTCCTACCTTTGTGCTACCTCCCTGGGGAAGCTGGAACAAAATGACATCACAGTTAGACCTATGACATCACAGGGCATCAAGGCTGACAAGATAGAGGATCTGACTTGGACTTGGAAGTTGGGAACAGGGAAGGGCATGGATGGTAGAGGCTGTTCTGGGTAGAAACTTGAGGGAGTGTGATCTCGATCCCCCCTCCTGGGACACTTTCTAACCAAGCCAGAGGACTTTCAGGATTGGAGACCTGGAAATCTCTTAGGCCATTTCCCTTTTTGCTTCTAACCAAGAGGTTGGGAAGAGTGTTCTGAGTGTTGGGAGCAGAGTGTGATGCCAATAGGGGATGGTCTTGGCAGATGGAAGGCAAAGGTGTGTATGGATCCACCTTGGAGGTGTGGGAAGGTCTTCCTTCAGTGCCCAGTGGCCCTGATTTCCCTATGGCTCCCAGCAAGACTGTAGGGGAGGAAGGCTTGTAGTCTAGGGGTTTGGGAGGGCTCTAGCTTCTGGGGAGTGAAGTTTTGGTGAACCAAAACTATAAGGAGTGCTGTGGGAGGAGCTCCTCCATTAACCTGAAGGATGCTGAGAGGGCCACTGAGGCAGGGGAGGACTGGAAACAGCATGTTGGAAGTGAGAGTGTGAGAGGCAGAAATGAGGGATGAGTGTGAAGGGGAGCTGACATTGTTAAGAGATGGCGGGGTCTGAGGTATGGCACTAGAGAGCTCTCGGCTACTTGCCATGTGACTCTGGGTGAGTTGCTAATAATAACATCAACCACACAGGCTTATGGTGAAGATCAAATGATATAAAGCTTATGAAGCTCCTAGCACAGTACCAGGCACATAATAGGTAAGCTATTTGTAAAGGTAGCTTTGATCCTTGGAATATTCCAACCCGAGCCATGTAGCTTCTTCTATTCTGGGTATGTATAATGCAGGATTCTTGGCTGAAAGGGGTAGAAACCACTTCAGGAGGATTTAAGCAGAAAAGGAATCATTTAAAAGACGTTAGGAGAGCTTATAGAAGGTCTGGGGGGACTGAAGAGCCAGGCTACCATGCCCGGCTAATTTTTTTGATTCATTGTAGAGAAGAGGTCTCGCCAAGTTGCCCCGGCGGGTCTCGAACCCACGGGCTCAGGCAGTCCACTCACTTCAGCCCCCCAAGCGTGGGATTACAGGCTGAGCCATCGAGCCCAGCTGGGAAACAAAATTGAGTAGATAATGGTCCCTGTCCTTAAGATGCTCATAGACATGTGAATCGGTTACATGGGAAAAGAATCATGATAGGAAATGATGGAAGCCACAGTGGAGGTGAGTAGTAGCCCTGGGGGCTGACCAGGCAAAGAAACACCACTAACATGCACCAGCTCTTAGTGGGTAGTCTGAGATGTCCCTGTGTGTTCCGACATCTGGGTGACATGACTGGGGTGGAGATTGATGATTGGTTGGGGATGTGTCACCCTGGGCCAGACTTGGGCAGGTTAGAATTTGCGTGAGGTCCTGGGGGGGGGGCAGTACCTTCTCATGCTCACAAGAATAATGAAATTGTTTGAGCTAAAAAGCCGCTTCCTGGCCTATGAGGCCTCCTTCTTTGTATCTGCTCATGGCTTACACCCATTTTGCTGTCCTTGAATGATCTCTTTCCCTCTTGGGGTCTCAACTTTCTATCTGGATTAGAGGATAGAATTCCCCAGGATCAGGAGATCTGAGTTAGGACCAGGAGGAAGATGTGTTTGCTGTAACCCAGGTCTCTGCTCTGTGAAATGAGTTGCCTGCTCTGTTCTCTGTCTCATTCCATATCCTTCTATGTTGCCTGTTCTTGTCTCTGCCTGTTCCTATTCTTGCCTGTAACCATCTCTGCCTCTTCTGTCACCATTCTGCCTGTTCCTGTCCCTGCTCTATCTTCCCTGTCATCATCAATGCCTGCCTCTATCTCAGCTTGGCTTCCACCCCCAGAACAACTCTACCTCCAGCCTTTGAGCCCTGCTCTGTCCCTCTCCTTCTTAGCCATCTGGGTTCTCTGAAAACAGCGGTAATACCCCTTCCATCCCCAATACACACACACACACACACACACACACACACACACACACACCCTGAAATTCCAGTAGGCCCAGTTCACTGCAATCCAAAACCAGCAAGTTGTCCTATAGAGTTGCCATAGGTGGACAAAGGCTGGATGGACAGCACCCCCTTGTCAGGTCTCACAGAGTTCCCAGGCCTGCCTGTCTGCCCCCCTCTTCCTATTTGTGGCAACTTCAAATGTAGCACCTTCCTGTCATCTCTCACACCCACTGGGGCCTCAGCCACAGGCAGCTGCTGCCCGTCCATCTACCAGCCTTCTTTCCCCAGCCAGGACTGCTGCAGAGCCAGGTAAGAGCCTCACGGTAAGAGACCCTTCAGGAGGTCACGGTATTAGTTTTGAGACCTGAGGCAAGGTTGGGAGGAGTCAGGAAAGTGGAAAAGGAAAAGGGGTTTTGGAGGGATGAGACACTGGAGTAAGGATTTTAGGATCTGAGGGGCATTTGGGGGTAAGGAGGGAAGGGTGGTCACTGAGGGGATGGAGAAGGAGTCTTGGGGCATTTGCTGGGCTGAGGTGATCCCTGTGCTATGTGGCCTCAAGTTAAAGATGGCAGAGAAGCACAATGCTAAATGAGCAGACAGCTGAGCAGTCAGGGATCTTCCTGTTGGGCAGTTGGGGGCACCTGAGGACTCTTGGCTCATTCTCTCAGGTCTTACACCTGATGAGGGCACCAAGTATGGAAAATCTGTGTGGCAGGACACCGAGGTGTCCTCAACTGTCCAGAAAAGCTATCTGAGTGAGCTCAGATGCAAGGTTCCCTTTGGTGGAGGGCCTGTGGTTTGCAGCGTCATGGACCCCTCTCTGCATAGAAGGGGGTGTCTTCACAGTTCTGTGTGGCCCTGAGAAATCTGGAATGTTCCTTCAGCTCTCTGAGTTCACTTGGAAATAATCTCTATAAGGACTTTCCTCTCTTCTCTCAGGATACATCTGTTCCTCACCTCTGATTTGTTAGTCTCCATTCAATTTCCTTTCCGTAACTTCTGGGAGAAAATCATTGGTTTCTTTCCTTTTCTTTTTTTTTCACATTTGTAGTTTTTTTTTTAATCACTTGTTTCTAAATGTCAGCACTAAGAGAGTTGTTACACACCAACTAGTCCAAACCTCCCATTTCGCAGATAGGGAATCTGAGATCAAGAGGGAAAGTGAATAGCTTGTGGTCCACAGCATGCTAGTGAGACAGCCAGTCCTAGAATACAGACTCCTATATGGAAGACCTTCACGGCTTACCTGTGACTCACCTGTCTTCCCAGCAAGTAATGGGGGCATGAAAGAAGAACCAGCTGCACAATTGGGTTGCTGCCACAGGACCAAAGCCCCAGGGAATACAGGAAGTTCCCTGTTCCCCAGTCTGGACTTCCAGCTCTCCCAAGGTGACCAGGTAAGGTGGGGTCCCAGTCTTATCTTTGTGGATAGTCTGTTTATGGTAGGAGATGACATTAGGAGGAAGTGGGGGAATGTCTGAAGGGGCCTAGACCTCCATTCTCCCTAGTCCTGAGCACCCCCTACTCCAGGTTACTCCCTCGGGAGGCCAGAAACTCTCACCCCATGGTCCAGGGGCCCATACATTCCTGTGGAGAATAAGAAGGGAAATCCCCATGCAGAGACTTGGCTAGTATGACCATGGCCTTGGGCCTCAGTGAGAGGGGCCTCAGGGCAACCCTGTAGGGTTTACAGTCTTTTATGGGGATCTTCTCCAAGTTCACGTTGGTTCCATTCAAATTACAATGGATGGTCTGAGATACACTGGGTCCAGGGTGGTCAGCAGTGAGGGTGGGAGGGTTAGATAGGATTCTAGGGAGCAGGGGGAGAGCAGTCCGGCGATGGGTGAGAAAGACTTGGGAATAGAAATCTTTGATGAGGGAAGGGGAAGCCATTTGGATGACAGATGTGGGGTATGGGAGATGTTTTAGTTTCTTCTTCCCTTTGGAAACCAAAATATAAGGGTGGGGCCATTCAAGGGACCTATAGAGTCCCAGCTCCCAGCCCCCAAGCTCTTGCCCCTGCCCTCCAGGTCTTCTCTGCCTACAGGTCATTTCCAGACACAGTGGATGCTTGTGGTCCATCCTGTGACCACTGGCTGTGCCTCTTGGCTCTGGCTTCAGCCAGATCTACCCTGCTGGCCTGCCCTCAGGGCCTGGACCTGGACTTGGACCCCACAGCTGGCACACCTGGGCATAGCCCCCAGGGTCTCAGGAAGGACGCCTTGAGCATGAGTAAGTCCAGGGCATGGGGCTGCACCAGCACCTTTGTGGAGGCTGGAGGTGAGAGGATGGAAGGTAGAGAAAGTAGTGTTCCTGGTGAGGACAGAGCCTCAGGCATACTTTACTTCCATGTTTTGGCCATGGACTTCTGGCCTGAGAGTGCAGGGGACTTCGGGTGATGATACGGGAGCCAGAGGAGGTGGGCAGTGTCTTTCTCGGCCATGTGTGGGAGTTGGGGTAGCCAAAGTTATCGGGGCTGGGCATGGAGCTTTGTCTGTCTAGACGAGTCATAAGAACACTGGACTGGGAGTCAGGGATTTGGGGTTGGAGTTCTGGGTCTGCCCCTTCTAGTTCTATGATCTTGGGCACATCACTTAGCCCTGGTTCTTTTATCCATAAAAGAGGGTTCTCATCTATACCTATGTTCTAAGTTTGTTGTCTTACACCATTTTCTTATGTGACTGTGACCTCCTTGGGGGGCAAGGATTATCCTGTTGTGTCTTTTATTTCTGGGACCCCAGGACAGAGCGAAACAGCTCAGTAAAGTTGTCTAAGTCAGTAATAAGAATCTGAGCAGACAATCCACCTGGGGATTACAGGTGTGAACCGCCATGCCCAGCTTCCAACCTACTTTTGTTTTTTGTTTTGTTTTTTTGAGTTGGAGTCTCACTCCGTTACCCAGACTGGAATGCAGTGGCACGCTCCCGGCCACCGTAGCCTTGACCTGCTGGGCTCCAGCGATCCTTCCGCCTCAGCCTTCCGAGTAGCTGGAACTACAGGCGCGCGCTACCGCTCCTGGCTAATTTTTGATTTATTGTAGAGATGAGGTCTCACCATTTTGCCCGGGTGGGTCTCAAACCCGCGGGTTCAGGCAATCCATTCACCTTGGCCTCCCAAAGCGCTGGGATTACAGACTGAGCCACCGAGCCCGGCCCCAAACCTACTTTTTAATTGTTTTTTTTCTTTTTAGTATTTCACTTTTTAATCATTCTTAGTTTGTTGTTGTTGTTGTTGTTGTTGTTTTGAGTTGGAGTCTCACTCTATCACCCAGGCTGGGGTGCAGTGGCACGCTCACGTCTACTGCAGTCTCAACCTACTGGGCTCAGGCAATCCTTCTGCCTCAGTCTGGCAAGTAGCTGGAACTACAGGTGTGTGCCACCATGTCTGGCCTTTTTTTTTTTTTTTTTTTTTACTTATGGTAGAGATGAGATCTCACCATGTTGTCCAGGCTGGTCTCAAACCCCTGAACTCGGGCAATCCTCTCATCTCGGCCTCCCAAAGTGCTGGAATTACAGGCATGAGCCACTGTACCCAGCTTCATTCTTAGTTTTATTCCTACTTCACTGTCTGTTGTATCCCGGTTTCCCTTGCTAGCTCTTCTTCTACTTGCCTCTTAAATACTTTCGTGCCCAGAACTGAGTGCAGAGCCCTCTCCTCCTCTCCCTTCTTCTCTCCTTCTCTTCTCTTGTCTCTTCTGTCTTCCCTTCCATTCCCTTCTTCTCTTCCCTCTACTCTTCTCCCCGTCCTGTTTTCCCTCTTTTCCTCTTCTGTGCTCTTTGTCTAGAATAGCAGTTTGACAGAACTTTCTGCAGTAATAGAAACATTCTATACCTTTGCTGTCTAATACCACACCTGTTAGAGTACTTTAAGTGAGGCTAGTGCAACTGAAGAACTGAAGTTTTTCTTTTCTTTTCTTTTCTTTTTTTTTTGAGTTGGAGTCTCACTCTGTCGCTCAGACT